GGGTGGTGGCAAATTAGAAGCACCATCACCTTCACCATCAGACAAYGAAGACGAAGACGACTGTGAGACGATAGGAGGCGTCGTCGTAGGACTAACTGGTAGCTCCACCTCCACTCGAGATCCCTCAGAAGAACTAGGAACATCTACCTTCGGTTGATCAGAAACGGTAGGCTTGCACAACATAGAGCTTTCATCAAAAGTCACATCCCTACTCACAATGACCTTTCGGGTCTCCAGACACCATAATCTGAAACCTTTTACACCRGCTTTAAAACCCAGAAATATACATTTGACGGCTCTAGGCTCAAGTTTACCATTGTCAACTTTGGCGTAAGCGGGACATCCAAATACCTTCATGTCAGAATAATCAGCAGGTTTGCCYGACCACACCTCAATTGGTGTTTTCTTATCAAGGGCATATGATGGAGAGYGATTAATTATAAAACAAGCAATTGATGCGGCTTCGGCCCAGAACGTTTTTGCCAAACCAGAGTTTGATAGCATACACCGAACCTTTTCCATGATCGTTYGGTTCATACGTTCAGCCACACCATTTTGTTGGGGAGTGTGAACCACCGTATGGTGTCTAGTAATGCCTTGACTAGTACAATAGGCATTAAACTCCGTCGAACAAAACTCTAGACCATTATCGGTCCTGAGATATTTGACATGCTTGTCGGTTTGCTTTTCTATCATAATCTTCCAATCACGGAAGTTAGCAAACACATCACTTTTATGTTTCAAGAAATAAGCCCATACCTTTCGCGAGAATTCGTCAATAATCGTCAACATGTAAACGGCACCACCATGCGACAGAACTCTCGCCGGTCCCCATAGGTCAGAGTGTACGTACTCGAGAATCGCCTTGGTCGTATGAGTTGAGCTCGAGAATGACACCTTCGTTTGCTTCCCAAACACACAGTGCTCACAGAATGGAAGCTTCTCGATTGCTTGGCTACCCAAAAGTTGCTTTTTGCTCAACTCCATCATACCGGCTTCACTCATATGCCCGAGTCTCATGTGCCACAATTTCGTATTATCAACATCAGAAAAAATCGATGAGGCTACCTGAGCATCTCCCATGATAGTAGTGYCCGTCAGATAATAAAGATTAGCACTTTTCCGAGTGCCCTTCAAATAGACAAGAGAACCKTTAACCACCTTGAGAACTCCATTTTCACCGACGAATTTGTAGCCATTCATTTCAAAAGTACCAAGTGAAATTAGGTTTCTCTTAGGCCCAAGTATATGTCTAACATAACCCAAGGTTCGGATGACCCCATCGAACATCTTGATTCAGACATTACCTAGACCCAATATTTTGCATAGCTCACCATTTCCAACCCCAACTGACCCCGAGCGAGGCTCATAAGTGGAAAACCAGTCACGGTTGGTACACATGTTGTAGCACTCATCAATAACATGACCCTTCTTCTTACAGAAATTGCAAAATTTTCTCTTAACCTTGGATTTCGACCTTGATCTCCMCGGGCTCTTGAAATCTCTCTCCGACTGTCTCCCTCTCACACTAAAGCCTTCAGCTTTCGCTTCAGAACCACCACTAATGATTTGCTTCATCTTCTCYTTTGAATCCAAAGCAGTGATAACTTCATCCAAAACAAGTGTGTCACGGCTATACATGATCGTGTCACGAAAATGGCTATAAGAATCGGGCAGAGATGATAACAAGAATAACGCCAGATCATCATCTTCATACTTCACATCCATATTCTCTAAATTGCAGACCAACTCTTTGAACGTGGATAAATGAGTAGATAATGAACTACCTTCAACCAGCTTGAGATAAAACAAACGTTGCTTCAAGCGTAGTTTGTTCGGTAGGCTCTTTGTCATCAACAACTGTTCCAACTTCAACCATAACGTCGCCGCCGAAGTCTCCTTCAACACATCTTGTAGAACATCATGAGATAAGTGTAAACGGATTTGACATTGTGCCTTCAAATCCTTCCTTTTCTTCTCGTCAACGGACCAATCCGCCGGCATTTTCTCAAAGCC